CCTCTCCCCCACCTCTCCCCCCCTTCTCTCCCCACTCACCTTCCGTACAGTCCTCCTCATGCTCACCCTCTCCCCCGTGCCCACCATACTCAGTCTCAGCGCGTGCGTGGTATACATGTGAACATAAAGGCGCACAGCGTCGTGGAAGGCCGCTCGGCTCAGAGAGATGTTCTCCCCCAGCCCACAGAAGCTCGAGTTGTAGTCCATCATGAGCCGAAGGACCGTTACATTGGCGTGTGAGTCGGCGTACTTGTCCAGGTCATACTCTTGGAGACCCTGAGAGAAGATCATGTGTCTTTATTGTCAAGATCCTTGCACATAAGATTGGGGTTTCACCACGTACACACGCTAGTACACACACATAGTAATAACAGATTTGTATAGCGCAAATCCCCGCTCAAAAGCAAGCCTCAATGCGCTTCACAATCTAAACTATTACCCCAGCAGACCTGAGAGAATTTTTTAACAAATTCAACTTCATGGGACATATATACCTAGACACGCACACATACACACGCATACACACACACACACACACACACATACAGACAGACACACATACACACACATACACACATACACGCGCACACACGCATACGAACGGGCGTGTACACACCCATACACACACATCGTACACACATCCTCTCCTCCACACACATCTGTGCACATAACCATATTAATACAATAGTACGCTTGCACTAACAGACAGGCTTATAGTTATATGCATAATATAAATGAACAATAATTGTTCACATCAAGAGTGTTAAGCCATATATACGTAATCGCCATTCTGATTGTTACCCAATGGTATTAATATATTGCATTCTTTAAAGGTCATAAGAATAATTATATGACCATCTGCTGTATCTTTCCTTGTTTCAGAACAGAAGCCGAAATCTTTTACTTCTGATTGACATTTTCATTTAAGGATAGGGGGAGGGGGTGGGGGGTGATTGAAGTTGTTGTAAACTTGAGTTTTAGTAAGAGTATTACGCCATTTACAACATACATACTATATTAATGAGTCAAATAAGCGCACATGATTAGAGGTAGTAACAAATAGAAACATACACCAATCAGAAAGAAAGATAAGACATAATTACACCAGTGTCCGTGGTGCAGGGGTCAGGCGCTTATTTGTCACACGCAGAAGACCTACGTTCCATTCCTGAGTGGGCAGAGAGATTTGTATCGAGTGTTTCGGTTTTTTCTCCTGGGATTCTGTATATCTCTCAGACACAGTAAAAATTAAAGTTGTTCCCGCATCCGATCCGGACATTGGGGATTGCCTTGTTAGTGAGACAACTTCCTGGGCCTTCGGCATTTTGTGTATCATACCCGGTATATTGCAGAAATATAAAAAAAGAAAACTACACCAAATGAACTGGCATGCATTCTAATCAGCCTAATGAATTTGACACAACTCAAAGGGAATTTTTAACAGTTAATGTCATTGACAGCATGTGAAGAGAGGGAATTTCTGAAAACTTCCACTTTACCCATGTTGGCCCAGAAGGTCACAGGGTCGACTCAGTCAAACTCAAAAGTGATCCAGATTGTGTCAAAGGGAGCGTAAAAAGGTGATTCTTTTTGGGTTAGCAATAGCTTTGCAAGTTGTGTACTCAATTAATAATAGAAAAAAGAAAAGATTTAAAAAATAAAACCAGCCCATTAGCTAATTCAGAAGAAAAACTTACCACATTAATTAGGAACCACTTATTTGGCTTCGAGAACATGCTGAGAGAGAGGGCCTGGATGGATGGAGGAAAAGAGAGGGAAAAAATTACACTAAATAACATTGAGTAATTGCACCAGTAGTGGTAATTAAAAGCTTAAATGTAGTTAACGTTTCACGAACCAATAGGACATTGTAAGTAGCAATTTTCTTCATAAGCGTCCGTAATAGGTATGATCATTTACTGGTAAAGACTCGTAAAATTATACTGCAATCAGATGTAACGCACGCTACTATGCTTGCTTTCTGTTGTGCTTGCTTCGATGTGAACCTAGATCTATGTGAATGTTCTCAGCAGAGAAACACACACACACACACACACACACACA